GAGCAGCCTTCCAATAGTTGAGGGTGGGGGGTTGGACTAGATGACCTACAAGGTCCCTTCCAACTCTTTTGATTATCTGTTCAATTGATTGACCCAGCTCGACACAATGTCGCAAAAGGGGATAACTGTCGTAACTGAGCCGGTTGCCAAAGCATCTCAATTTGGATCACGTCACCCTGGGGGGTGCCCGTCGTTAAGCGTGAAAAATGGTCCTAAGTCAACTTTTTTTTCCTCCCCCCCCCCAGGGTTTGTTGTCACTCCGAAAACAGTCACTAAACGAGCGCGCACCTCAAAGCTGACGTCCCCACCACAGCTGCAGGCAAAGCAGGGCCCCAACACCCTCAGCACCGTCTCCTTCTCCACGTTCTGGATGGAGAACCTGGGCATGAAGGGATGCCAGGTCTGCACCACATAGCCGATGGTGGCTCCCGGCGGGCTCTGGACCTCCATCTGGGGAGGTGGGGTGTAGAGAAGGGGGAAGGGACAAAGAAAAAGCTGGCGTCAGAATAAATGAGATGGGGCAGCTGCCCAAGTTAGTGTGATGCCCCAAATGGGCGTGGCACAAAGGCAACACAAGTCACATAAGTAAGAAAAGTCCCTTTAGTAGCTCCAACTTTGCCCCTGCAGCTAATGACGGGAATCAGGGCCCTTTCCTCCCCCGTAAGCCAGCTAACCCACATTGCTCCCTTCTCTGTTCCTCCTTGCGTGCCCTAGGAGGAAGAGGGGGGGTAGGCCTGGGTCTTCCTCTGAACCCCCTCTTCCTTGTTCTACCTCTCCCCTCTGCTCTGCCCGGCCGGACTTTGCCCTTCCCCAGTTTCCTCCACGGCCAATGGAGCCACACTCCCACTCCCTGTCAGCTGCTCGGCCTCCTCCTCTGAGTCCGATTCCGACAGGGGCATGACAGTTAGCCACCAATGCTTGGAAAATAAGTTCTCTTGCAACCCAAACTGGGGGGAGGGGGGAGGAGAGAGAGGAGGGACTCACACAACAACAGCCGCAGTGTTGAACAGTCGCATACACAATGGTTAAATCAAGAGTTTCGCTTAGTCCAACGGGTGAGAGATAAATTGGGGTCCAGCTTAAAAAAACCATCAAGTTGCTGAGATTTTCTATAACTCTTTTTCATAAACCTTGTTAAAGAAAATTTGGGGGAATATTTTCCCTATTGGTTAAAGTTGGCTGTCAAAGAGATTGACAGGACATCAATCCATCAGGAAGGCCAGTACAACTCTAAAAGGCAAAAGGGGTTCTGTCCCATTCAACCACAGGGCGAATTCACCAGGACACTGGGAGTTCTAGTCCTGTCTTAGGGGCACGAAACCTTAGATTGGATGATTTGAGGCTTTTAAGGTGGGACTAGAACTCCCATTCTCCTGGTGATTGGACCAAAGTCACCCAGCTAGCTTTCATGGCTAAGGCAGGACTAGAACTCCCATTCTCCTGGTGATAGGCCCAAAGTCACCCACTGGCCTTTGTGCCTAAGGCGGGACTAGAACTCCTATTCTCCTGGTGATTGGCCCAAAGTCACCCACTGGATTTCGTGCATAAAGCAGAACTAGAACTCCCATTCTCCTGGTGATTGGCCCAAAGTCACCCACTGGATTTCGTGCCTAAGGTGGGACTAGAACTCCCATTCTCCTGGTCATTGGCCCAAAGTCATCCAGCTGGCTTTCCTGCCTAAGGCGGGACTAGAACTCCCCATCTCCTGGTTGAGCCTGGGTGCAACTGCCCACCCAACCACACTCGCCGTGTTACCTCCTGAAGGCAGCAGGGGAAAAAGCAGCTGACACATTTCAGGGGACGGACCAGTCGGATGACTTCGCGCCCGCTGGGGTCGTCCAGCCTCATGGAGAAGCGGCGTAGCGAGCCGCAGCAGTTCCGGGTGCAACAGTCGTTCTGCTCCTCGGCGTGGAAGATGTGCTGCCCGAGGCTGTTTCGCACCTCGTACTTGTTGTTGCCTTCGAAGCCAATGAAAGCTACGGCGAGAAAGGGATAAAGGAGAGAAAGGGATAAAGGAGAGAAAGGGATAAAGGAGAGAAAGGGATAAAGGAGAGAAAGGGGTAAAGGAGAGAAA